GCTGTTTAATAGCTGCTGCCGTAGTTGTCGGTTTCAGCAGAGTAAACCAGACAGCAATTGGGTGTGCGCGCCATGATTTTAAGAGAAATGAAAGGCAATAGCTACCATTGGAGCGACTGGTCTGCTGAGGCCTGAGGAAGTCTCCAGACCACGAAACTTCTAATTTTAAAGTGAGTCATTCATGGGCAAACCAGGAGTTGGTCCCCTCGCTAGAAGCAACACATTTACAATTCTCAAGCATCTGGGAGGCAGACATTGTTTGCCTTTTCCTCATGTGAAGGGCTGAGACTCAGGCTACTGCGACACATTGTGAGCCCCCAACCCATGGCAAAGCCTGAGCTAAGTCATACCCAGGTGGTGAGGCCTGTGGGTGTATGCTGTGCTGTTTGTTCCACAGACTGGGGTGTGTAAGCCGTGTGTCTGTCTACAGTCTGTGGTGTGTGTTCTGTGTGTGTATTCTGCAGACTGTGGCATGTGTTTGCGTGTGCATTCTGCAGCCTGGGGAGTATGTTCCTTGTGTCTGACGGTATAGTATTTTAAGAAGCTGCCTGGCAGCCGGGCAGTGGTGGCGCACTCCTTTAATCCCAGCCCTTGGGAGGCAGAGGCAGGCAGATCTCTGTGAGTTGGAGGCCGGGCAGGACCGACAGCCTCCAAAACAATACAGAGAAACCCTGTCTCATAAAAACCAAAAAAAAAAAAAAAAAAAAAAAAAGAAGCTGGCTGTATTCGGAATTCAGCAGTATGCACCCCATAGCTGCTGTGAGAAGGCCCGTTGCTCAGCCCTTGACACCTTACTCCGGCTTAGAAATTACAAATCATACAAACCCTGAATTTTTGCGTAGAGTTTTTAAAACTTAAAAAATAGTCTGAAATAGGGGCCAGGGGAATGGATTAGTGACCAAGTGCACCCATGTAAAAGCTTTGGTACGGCGGCCTGCGTTTGTAACCTCCTGGCTTGGCATGGGAGACAGACAGAGACTTGGCTTGCTGGCCAAACAGCTAAAATGGCGAGCCCTAGCTTCTGTGAAAAGAAACCTGTCTAAAAACATAAGATGGAAACTAAAGAGAAAGAAACAGGAAGCTGACCTCTGTCTCTACCATCACACACACACACACACACACACACACACACACACACACACACACACACACGACTGAAACAGAACAGGGCATCCACTCTCTGTAAATAACCTATAACCAACCTTTGCGGATTATTCTCTTGCTTCCCACCCATCTGAGAGAAAACACTTCCGCCAGTCTGGCTCCTAGTCCCTGGTGACTTTCAAAGCTTTTACGTAGCAACGACAACCTATGAGAGTCTGACAGAACGGGCCTCACTGTCACCAGGGCTTTCTTTGGGACACGTTCTCATTGCTTTGCTTCCTTCACGAGGCTGTGGGGTAGCAGGTGTATTCAAGGGAAAGTTCAATGTCAAGTGGAGGATGGGGCAACTTCTTAAGAAGAATGCTCTGCGAATGGATAGATAAACAGATAGATAATGGATGGATGGATTGTAGATAATTGATAGATGATATATAAGATAGATAGATAATGGATGGGTTATAATTGATAGATGATATATAAGGTAGATAGATAGATAGATGATAACTAGACATATCTAATTTAGATTTAAAGAGGCTAAATTCTCTGCTTCTGACAAAAAAGATACAAGCATAAGACAGAACTCTAATCTGTATTGACTACTGGTTGTTAAAGCAAGGTTTTATCAACGTGGGGCAGGTGCTGGGGGTACCACAACGGAGATAATGAAATTTGTGTCTTTTAAATTGGTAGATAAGGTGTTACCAGTAAACCATTATCTTTAGCCTGGCTCCCTAGACGGAGGTTCTTCCTCAAGAGATTGATCGATGCTTACATCACAGTGAGGAGGCAGATGAGGTCAGAGTTTCACGCTCAGCAAGTGTGTGAGCGCTGCTGAGCAGGTGCAGTACAGCCTGGCTTCCATTGGGCTAGGAGCTATGAGGTACAGGTGGCGTTGTGTTTGTTCTCCTCTGAGGCGACAGGGCTGGAGTTGTTGTATCCCTGGGAACAGGGTATGACCTCTCTGGCAACTTCTAGACGCCTGCACTTTCTGAGAGCCGTCAGCAGTGCCACAAGCACACGGGTTTCAAGTTAACCGTGAGAGACTCACCTGACATTTACAAATGGGCCCAACAGAATGGCTTGTTTCTTCTGGCACTAAAGGAGCCGGCCATTTCCTGGAAGCCCTTCAGATGATGCCATTGGCTTGGGTTGAGGAACCCTGTGGTACGGAATCACACCCGGTGTTGGGGAGAGTCTCAGGCCTTTACCCTGTCCCCACAGGGTCTGAGACTGTGTGTCAGGAAGCAGATGTGACCCGCCATCGTACGGGATGTTCGGCAGGGAGTGCCCGGGTCTGGGAGGCGGAGCTGGAGGCATTAGAGGCTGGAGGGACGTTGGGTGTTAGTTGTTGGGGGCTCTGGGGACAAATGACTCTCTAGAGCTGGGCTGCCTTGGGCTGCGGGGGTCTGGCGTTTGTGTCTCTTTCCTCCTACAATGGAGCACTCGGGAAGGGCGAGGCCTTAGATGAGGTGGCTTTTCTGAGGCTGAAGTCACCCTGCAAGGACAGCTGGAGGCTCTTTGCTGGCTGTCCCGTGGCCTCCAGCTGCAGCTGGCCAGCAGATCCTCCCTGGACCGGAGACTGGCAACGTAAACCTGTGCCCGTGACTTGTGGGGTCACCTCATGCTCATTTGCAGGAGTCCGCTCGCCTCATCAAAGCTGCTTTCACTTTGTGAGGAGTGGGGGGATGGGAACCTGCTGAAGAACCTTCAGTTTAGCTAATGCTTTTGTGTTTAAAGTTAATTCAGGAGGTTTATTGGGTGTCTGTGTTGTAATAAAAAAAATAAAAGCAGCAGCATGAGAGAGAAAGATGCCGTGTGACAGAGGTCAAGCAGAGGGGATTTTCTTTAAGGTAACGTGATCATAAAGAGGTGGAAAGGGCAGGGGGCAGATGGACCTCTGGGACAGGAGCAGCAGGAGAGAGGAAAGAGGCAGAGAGAGAGAGAGGAGGAGGAACAGACAGAGGGATGGGAGGTGGGCGGGGTCCTTTTAAAAGGGAACACAGTGACTGTGCACAGGAGGTGCTCTTAGTGGCTGCAGCTGAGAGTGTGTCCTGTCAGAACCCCACAGACAGGCCAGTATAGATGCCTGAATATTAAGAGTCTGTCTTCACCTAAAATGTCTTTGCTTTGAGGGTTCTCTTTATTTAATAAAAGGTACTGTGCCAGGCATGGTACATGAGTTACCTTACTTAATGCTTTTGAAAATAACATGTCGTAGATAACGTTGTTCCCCATGTCACAGATGAGGAAGTTCCATACAGTTGAAGTGAGAAATGCCTGCCCCACAGAGCCACATAGCCTGCGTCTGAACCAAAATCTAACTCCGAAGCTGAAAAAAAGACATTAACCACCCCGCCAAGACCCAGTGTGAAAATGTTCTCGAAATCCTTTAATCGCAGTTAGTTCATTCATTCACCCACGGTCATGAGTACATCTTCTACCAGGCCCTGTGCTAGCTCTGGATTAGAGTCAAGAGAGAAACCTCCGAGAATAACCATGCATGTATGTATCCAGGGATCCCATGCTGCCTCCATCAGCGTGTGCAGTTTTTTATGCTTTTATGGAGCATTGGATCTTTTTTTTTCCTTTGGTTTTTCGAGACAGGGTTTCTCTGTATTGTTTTGGAGGCTGTCCTGGAACTCGCTCGGTAGACCAGGCTGGTCTCGAACTCACAGAGATCCACCTGCCTCTGCCTCCTGAGCGCTGGGATTAAAGGCGTGCACCACCAACACCTGGCTGGAGCACTGAAATTTTTAATGAAGGAAACTCTGAAGAGGGTTGTGTGCATGTATTCTGGTAGGTCACTACCCTGCCTGTGTGTTGGTAATCATCTCAAGAAGTTAATGCAAGTGAGATTGTCATGCCCAAATTCTGAACCCCAAAATCACCAAGAGGCCCGTTTTGATGCAAAAGCAAAGAGTCTTTTATTGCAGTTGTTTAACGAGCTAACCCCATTAGCTCAGGCCTTTCATCCATCTACTGCAGCAGATGGCTGGAGAAAGACCCTGAGAAATCACGAGGCAGGCATCTTAAAGGGCAGCATAAGGGGAGTGGCTAGGGGTATGCAACAGTCTCAGGTTTGGTGCGCTTCCAGATTTGGATGGCCTGCCCTGTGTTGATTGGTCAACTGGTTGCTATGGCCCATAGGCCCTCCCAGGGCTGTTACTATGCTCTGCATGTCACTGTTGGGCACTTGTTCATAAATCACACCCAGAGCCTTAAAGCACAGCCCCGCCAGCTAACTTCTGATTGGTTCCTTGCCACGAGGAGGGCATCTGACCTTTGTCGCACCTGCTGTGCAGCCTGCATCCGAGAATGTAGCGAGGTGGTCGGGATAGATGACACAGAGACTGGTCGGTTGCTTTAAGAAAACTTTATGCTTCCCAAGTCAGCTTAGGAGGAGACCCCAAGTCCGCTTAGGAGAGAAGTCTCTCCAAGAAAAAACTCTTCCCTTTTTAAGGACTTCTGCCATCCATCTACATACAATTCTTTCCAGACTTCTCACCCTCCTGGCTGGTGGTTTAATCTCTGGCCCCAGAATCGGGGAGGCACAGCAGGGGGGACAGGAAGAAGCATCTAGCCGTAGGGGGGGTCAAAGTCATGGTGTTTCAGTGAGCAAGCCCTTATCAGAGCCCTATCAAGAGCTTTATAGCACTGCATTGTTTTCAGTAAACATTATCTCACAGCTGCCTGCTCCCAGGCCGAAGGGGAAGTGGGTTTCTGCTCAACATCTGGTGTCCCCACAGGCCTTAGTGACCAGGACAGGAGTGGCAAGGTCAGATGAGCACATTAGCCTGTCATGGCTGCTAAAATTGGGGTTGGGGGAGGGGCTGGTCACTACAAGATGCACCTTGAGTATTTGCCAGGAACTGAATTCATTCTTTTCCACTTTGTAGCAGGCTAAACGGGATGCCAAGCGGATGTCTGCAAAAGAAGTCACCATTAATGTCACAGAGAATCTCCGTCAGATGGACAGGAGTCAAAGGATGGCAAAGAACTGCATGAATTAGCAGTGCCTGGAGGGAGGAGCCGATGAGCTTCTTTGTCAAAGAATCTTGAAGAAGTGGGTGTTGCTTACTAAACATGGCTGCCTCTGTGCATCTGGAGAGATGGCTTGACCAGGCAACACTCGGCCACGTGAGCTGTGAGACCCTACTCAGCGTCCTGTTTAATCACACACAAGAAAAAAAACGTATTGAAAAGTCCCGAAACATGTTCACAGATTGCCAAAACGTGGCTTGTTTTTCCCCCTTTGCCTTGGTGACCTATGTAGGTCTGTGGATGACACAGACATGCAGGAGTAGTGTGTTTCCTGGGGCAACGATCACACATTAGCGTGAAGCTCACACAGTGTGTGATCCTAAACCCTTCCTCCTCTCCTCGTAAAAAACAGCTATCACAAAATTGACCGTTTTCGCATCAGAGCTGGCTCTCCCCCCGATTCTAAACCCAGAAATAATAAGAACTGGAGAAACAGAAAAACCCAGTTGGAGGCAGAGCAATCCCCGCTACACACGCTGACTCACCAGTGTCTTTGTGGAGTGTCTTCGAGAGAGGTGTCAGTGACACGGTCACACCTGTTTATCTTCTACCTGGAAAGGCCTCCCAGGCTGGCATCCAGACATTGGCTTCCAAACCAGAATATCACGATGTCCGTGGCCATTGCATCCAACCTGCAACCCCCTCTGGAACCTAGCTACGGGTCTTTTTTTTTTTTTCTTTTTTTTTTTGTAGCTTTCCCCTTCCGTTTTATTCTCACGACCTCCAGTCAGGTCATTTGCAATTGGGATCAAAGACTGGATACCGCATACAGGAGAGAAGTGACCTGGAGACACAGGGTGGCACACGTGATGCCCCTTTTGGCTTTCCTGTGCCGGCCCCAAGGACTGCGTTATTTTGGTGTCTGCAAAGTAATTCGTTGAGGAAGCCAGAACCCGGTGGATGTAGATTCATGTTGACCTTAGACTGACAGGGGACTGTGTTGGGAAGCAGGTGGCCAATGTAGTAAAGGGTGCTCGGAGAGGAATCTTTTCCTAGCGTTCCTAAACACTTCTTCCTGCAAAGTCTAACGCAGCATGAGTTTGAGGGTACTGTTAACATGCTCGGGCTTAGGAAAAGGCATAGACAGAGTTGTACCAAAAAACTGTCCCAACCAACTCCACCTTTAGCAGCAACAGCAGCCTGGTGACATGTTTATCTGACACCGTCCAAGAGGTATAACCTCAGCGGACTAAAATGCAGATGTCCCTTCTGTGTTAATATCATCTCTGATATTATTCCTCCAACACAAGCAGAACGGTAGACCGTCTGTCTGTTAGCAAAAAACGTTCACTGCCAACCTTGCGACAGCTACGGTAACAGACGTGGAGGGATTTGGAGTCTGGCCAGTCACGACTGTATCCTCTGACTCTATAGGCTGGGTTGATACCCAGGAGACGAGCATGAACCCTACGGCACAGGACCCGTCATTGCGGCGGGGTATCGCTTTTAGGTTAAAGGTAGCTTCCTGTCAATCACAGATGTAGGTATCTGCCCCATCACTGTCCAAGAATTTGCCATATACACCACAGTTTCCCCAAACCTCTCCCATCTCAACTCCGTGTCAAAGGGCTTTTAGGGAACTTCATGTTCTGAGAATTTAACTAATAAAAAACAAAGCAAGCCCGGGACTCCTGCATCCTCAGTGGTATCACTCCGCGGGAGTCCTGCCGCAAGGTTGGCGGCCGTCCGACCCTGCGAGCTCAGGGGCTTGCTCTCCAGGGCATGTGTGCTGTGTTTTGACATGCTGCTTCCCCATTTATGACGCGCTATCCGCCACCGGCTAAGGCCAGCTTCTCCTCCCGACTCTGTGCCTACCACAGTTCGCTGATGCACGTAGTTTGGAATGTCCCATCTGGAAAAGTTGTCTCTGCATATATGGGAACAAGCTCTCACTTTCCGAGGAGGAGGAGGAGGAGGAGGAGGGAGGAGGAGGAGGAGGAGGAGGAGGAGGAGGAGGAATGGGGCGATGGGGTGGGGTGGGGGCCTCGGATCTGGTCACACCATTGACATTTCCATCTGGCAGAGTTTAAACGTGTGGTTAAGACGGGAACTGATTCTTACTATCCTATTGGATAACATTTTCCATTTAAGAAGTTTGTGTCAATAAAGTCATTAATTTCAAACATATGTGGATTGTTACAGACTTCTTACTGGAACCTTAAACCTGTATGCACAGCTGGGTAGAATTTTCTTTCTTTCTTTCTTTTTTTAAACAAAGGTGTTTTATAGCCTCGTGGGTTAGGTGAATTGGGCAAGGAGAATGCAATTAGCTCCAACTTACCCTTACGGAGGTATTCATAGTCTTCTTGGCCAGGAATTGGTGGGCTGGGATGCCAGGCAGGAAAGCCAACCTTAAGATAAGTGCTCCCCACGCCCCAGCCCGTTCCTGTCTCAGAACACCCAGCCTGACTCAAGGAGCTGTCACAGGTACCCAGAGACTGAGCCAAACCCGAGCGTCTTGGACAGGGGGTGATTGGAGAGGGCCGCAGTGAGAGAGGTGGGTCTAGCCTGAGCTCACCTTAGCCTTCTGGACAGGGTGAGCCTGACCTGGCATGAGATGGGACTGCGGGTTAAGGGTGATCATCCAGGGAAGACAGAAACTGTACTCCTTATAGAAAAAACTGTCTAATATATATGCATAGTGCAACATATACATAATAAGGAGCAGGAGGGGAGGGCTGCCTAGGTTGCTGCCGGAGCCCTGGTCTCACGGACCCGCTCCTCCAGCCGCCCACCTCCACAGGGCCACCTGCACCCAGGCCTGACTGCGTGCTGCTGTTTGTGGCTCCTCCCCAGTGTCGCGGAAACACCTCCCCTGGCTATTTGTTCCTCTAAGCGGTGTTCCCAAGGAGGGCTCCTCTGCAGACATCAAATAGAACGGTGCGGTCTGTTCAGCCGGCCGGCGGTGCAAACGCTGGGGTCCCGCGTCCACGGCTCCGGCAGGCACCCCTCACGGAGACACCATGTCCACCCTCCCTTTCTCAGCCAGTAAAGGCGGTCGTGTGAGTCTCCGTTTCTTCTTAGGACAGGGAGGTAAACGCTGGTGTGCAACATCCATCCACTGGGCTGTCAGGTGGCCTCGGAGCGGACGCTGTGCCAAACTGAGCAACAGGTAAGCCATCGTCCAGGGTCCTGATTCCACGAAGCCTCCCCTGAGCTCTGGACTGCTTGACCGAGTGTGGCCGAGAAATTATGCCTTTGCTTCATTTAATCTACTCTTTCAGCGGAATTAATTTAAGTTGGTGTGGGAAGTTTCATCTTCTTTTGAAGGCCTGTTAGTGCTCCGAGTCCCTTGGTCCCACGTTTTCTGGACCTCATGTCTTCGTGTGCTAAAACTGGTGTCTCCAGACGGTGAGGGCCCCGCCACTCACGTGAGTCACGCATCGTAGCTCTGCGTTGTCACCCGCCTGAGGCTTATGACTTTGCAAGTCCCTACTCCAATTCCCCTATTCCAATTTGTGTCCCCAAATACTCGGCTTTCTTTTCTTTTCTTTCTTTTTTTTAAAGATTTTTATATATGGATTGTTCTGTCTGCATGTATCCTTCAGGCCAGAAGAGGGTGCCAGATCTCATTAGAGGTGGTTGTGAGCCACCATGTGGTTGCTGGGAATTGAACTCAGGTCCTCTGGAAGAACAGCCAGTGCTCTTAACCTCTGAGCCATCTCTCCAGCCCCTGGCTGATTGTCTCTCATTTCCACAAGTCTGGGAAGTAGCTAATTTGGGGAAATTTTCTGAGGAAGTAAATTACAAGTATGACCCAAAGGCTATAATTATGCATGTATAACACTTCCAGGTGCTATAACTGTTTTATTAAAAATCTTCAATGTTCCAGAAATGGGAAATTATTACAGTCATTTACTTACTTATCTATGTATCGTTTTTTGTTTGTTCTACTACATTAGCTCCACAAAGTCAGGGACCATGTCTGCTTTATTTCCAATTTCTAGCATACTGAAACATTTCAATAAATATACACTGCATTTTGATCTCATTCACACCTCCACCCTCTTGGATTCCTTTCCTACCCCTGCTGACTTCTTCACAACTGGTCCCCCTCCTAGCTTCATGTTGAAAGGCTATTTTAGTGAGATTCTTTGGCCAGAATTCTCCCAGTCCTGTTTCTGGTGATAAGAAGGTTTCTTCATTCATACAGAGAAGACAGCTTCCCTGGGCTTTATCTCCAGCTCTCAGGAGGAAAAATACCCCAAGTTTTCCTCTCAGAACATTTTCTAAAGTGACGTTAGCTCCAAATAACCCTTATGCCAGAGAGATGTCTTTGTGGTTACATGCTGTATGACTCTCCGGTGACAATTTGGCTAATTTATTAAAAGAGGAAGTGTATACACTCAACAGCTCCATTTTGAACTGTGTGTGTTACCGACTGAACTGTATACCTTGCAAACTTTCTTGCTGAAGTCCTAAGCTCGTGCTTTATTTGGAGATGGATGTTCAACTAAGACAAAATGAGGTCATCTGGGTGGGCCCTAATTTACTGTAACCTTGGCACTTCTACAAAGGAGAGATTAGGATGCACAGACACGGGGGGGGGGGAGGACGCCCCTGTGAGACGCCGGAGGAAGATGCCCACATGTAGACCAAGGAGGAAGGACTCAGAGGCAACACCCTGCTGATGCCTTAGTCTCGGACATTAAGAGACCTGGTTTTGAGAAAAATCAGTGCCAGTTAAGTCACCAGGGCTGTGGTGCTTTGTGAAGCCGTTCCTAGTAACATCCCTAGGAAACTGGTACAACACTCTAGAAAACTACGTGGATATTTTTATAAGCTGGGTGTGGGGGCCACTGCTCAGCCTTCTGGGGTGAACTTCGCTTCAGGGACAGGAGAACACAGTTCCACAGGGAAGGCTGCTACATCTACGCCCCTTTGCCCCTTGAAGTGCTCTCCAGGGATCTTCCAACAGGGCCACCTGCCTTCCTTGGCTGGAGGACTTTCTCTCATCCCTTCCAGGACACAAATTTCTAGGACATTGGTGCTATTGATGCTCCCTCCCCTATTCCAGCATCCTTCACTCAACTTTAGGTGGGTGATGCTAAGATACTTGTTTTCTATGAGCTTCTAGAATTTTCCCAGATATATGAACTCCAATTACCCAGCAGGTAGCTAGTTTAATAACATACCCCTTTATTGCATGCTTCTCGGACTGGTCTCCAGGGTAGGCACACTGCTGTAATTGCAGGCTTCAATATGAACACCATCCTTCCTCCTGTCTCTTCTTATCACCACACCCAAACACCATATATTTCCAAGACTTGGTTTCTTGCTCCCGAGCACACTTAGAACATCTGAAAGCTCCTCAGCTTCCCGTGTGCAAATCTTGGATCTCTAAATGTTTTTTCTTGCATACGGCACCGCAAGTTGACTTTACGGCAAATAAACAAACGGGTAAATGTTCTGTCTTGCTTCGGGGGTCTAAGAAATGTCATGGAAAGAGATGGCCCCCATGGCAGCTTGGCAGAAGTCGGTAGCTACATGAGTTCCTAAGACAGGCAGGCAGGCAGGAGACATGAGCTGGTAGGCCATTAGAAGCAGAAGACTGGAGGAAATGAGAGCGTGGTGTGTTTGAGAGCACTTGATGTTAAAGCAAGATGATAAAATAGTGACAACAGAGAACCGCTTGTTGTCGATAAACAACTGCACCAGGATTTTGCACTCCACATGACAGATAAGAGCTGGACCACATTCATGACTGATGACGTTGGATAATGGCTTACACATGCTTTCGACAAATTTACTTGCTCTTTGAACTTATTCTGCCCTTGGGACCTCTTTACATGAATGTGTGTATCCCTCGCTGTCTTCTTTGAAGACTCCATGGCAAGCTCAGGTAAGGAACCGAGTCCTGGGAAAACACACCGTACTGTGAGACCATCAAGACCAAGCCTCAGTCTCCCCCAAGAAGAAAGGTGTTTGCGCCAGCGAATGCAAGGTAGTTAGAATTTTGTTTGCCTTTTTAAATTTATGCAATTATCCAAAGGCTATTTCCTTATGTTCTAACAGATGAAGCAACTGTTGGGTGACCCGGGGAGCAGAGAGAGAGATTGTCAGAGGGCCTGTAAGGGCAGAGATATCACAGGCTTCCCCTGCAGAAGACAAATCCGAGCTTGAAGTCTCCAGCTGTGTGTCCCGGGGACATGTAAGGGAGCTTCTGAGACTCGCTTCCCTCCGGGGAGGTGGCAGTATCTTTTTGAGGGTGTACTGTGAGGATTAAGTGAGATAACAAATGCAGATAACACTGCCTCTGCCGCCACAGGATAAGCATCGCTCTGCACGTCTGGGTACCAACCTTGCCTGCCACAGATAAGCATCGCTCTTCATGGCTGGGTACCAACCTTGCCTGCCACAGGATAAGCATCGCTCTGCACGTCTGGGTACCAACCTTGCCTGCCACAGGATAAGCATCGCTCTGCACGTCTGGGTACCAACCTTGCCTGCGCTATCTCTGCCCATCACAGCCCTGCCCCAGGTAAGCTCACCAACCCCACTTCACAGACGAGAAAACTGGGTTTGAGCTCATGTCTGCCCGTCTATAGAAGCCCACGGTCTGTCTGCTGGGCTCAGTAAAGGTCCGTGGCCTGTCCGTCTGTCTGGGGGGAAAGGCAAGTGACGTCACGGCTCCTTGGATGATGTCACCCTTGCAGTACTTGTAGCCGGCTGAGGCTCATCAGGGAGGATGTCTGGCGGCCTGTGTCCCAGCCTGCAGAACCTCACCTTCGTTTGTCTCGATGCTCCTCGGCAACAGAGCCCAGCAACCCTCTGCACCATGCCGTGGCGTTAGTCGTCTGAGGGTAAAACTAGTAAGCTAGGGGAGGGCACCTAAGGTCATCGTAGTCACTCCCCTGTCCCAGAGGAGGTGGAAGCCGGAACTAGATGGATCCCCAAGGAGAAATGAAATGCCAGACTGCAGTGAAAGCTGCTTAGAGACTGAGGCAGGAGGACTGCTTGAGTAATTGTTCAAAACCAGCCTGGGCAGCCTGAGGCTATCCCGGCCAAACTAGCCGCCCCGAGGGCATCTTGAATTAGACTCTGGGGTTTGAAGGAGCCTCACCGTCTACCTTTGTGGCCACATGTGTGCATTGTGTTAGCTCTCTGCTTGCCTGTGTAGACAGTGGGGGGCTCACAGCACCTCCTGGCTTGCAGAGGACTTAGCGATAAAAGCACTTAGCGCTGTTTCTTAGCGCGTGACAATAAACACAAGTCACGAGTGTTACCTCTCTCAAGGGAAAAGGTACAGAAACCTGGTTCTCTCTTTAAGCGCTCCGTTCCTGGAGACCACAGGATGTGCAGGGTTTCCAGATACGCACTTCTTGCTCAGTACAGGATTCCCTTGGGCACAAGGACTCAGCTCCGGGCAGAGCACCGACTCAGGGTGGCCCAGATGACACAGTTCTCTAGTTGGTTTTGGGCACTGGAGGGCACTTCCCCCAGTTGGTAGCCATCGAGTGAGACAGGGTTTGAGCATAAAAACAAAACAAAACAAACAAACAAAACACAACAAACGTGTGCACTGTGGTTTTCACCGTGTTCCTTGGCACCAGTGAACTGCCCAGCACTGAGCATCAAATAACAGTGCTGTTCTCCGGAAGAGCAGAAAAGCCGGACTCAGAACTGTGACGTCAGAACCCCCCCCCCACTATGGATTCAAGAAAGAAGGAAGATTGGAGACTTGCCTGGACAGGCTCAAAAACAATACAAACCCTTTCTCGAAAAACCAAAAAAGAAAGAAGGATGCAAGAATGTGCGAATATTCAAAGCAAATACTTCCGTGGGAGCGAACGCTGATTCACTTAAAAAAAGAGGCCTTTCCACAACAGCCTCGAGATCCCTTGAGGGGAAGAGCAGGAGGGGGGGGCTCCTACTAGTTCGCAAGCAGAGTCAAGGCTCATTTTTGAGACAGATAAATTCTTAACAAAAAGATGGCAAGATGAATGGGCCCTGGGGACCTTAGCCTTCCAAAGTCACTTTACCACAGTCCCCAGCCTCAGGCCAAGGGTCTGGGGTTCGGATGGGTTTGGGCTCACAGCGGTCATTTTATTAATGATGTCATCCAGGTCTCTCCCATGAGCATCCTCGCAAAGGGTCTTCTTCATCCCTTGGTTCCCACCTCCGGTGAAATGCCCAGGAGGCCGCAGGAGCCTAGGGTCCTCTGTTTGGGACCCCTACCTACCAGCCTATCTCCCTGCAGCTAAAACCCACCCAGCTCAGCCCAGCCAGCACCACAAGGAATCTGCCAAGGGAAAAGATGGGGCGTGGTGGGAATGTTCCTCTGAGAACAAAGAGACAGAACCCCCTCGGCCACTTTCAGTGTCTAAGCCGCCGTCCCTTCATCTAGAATCTGGAAACACTCAATACATACTCTCAGTCAGGGGCTCTGTTGCCGTGACATAAACACCATGACAGGAAAGGGTTTAGTTCAGCCTGGGACTCTCCGGTCTCTTCAGAAGGCAGGCAGGGTGAGAATCTAAGGCAGGAGCCGGGAGGAACGCTTGCCCAGCCTGCTTTCTTATACGATTTTGCACCACCTGCCCAAGGTTGGCACCATTCCCATGGGCTGGGCCCACCTACAATAATCATTAATCAAGCAAATGCCCTGCAGACAGTCTGGATGGAGGCCTTCTCCTCTGCCAGATCATTTCAGCTTCTGTCAAGCTGACAAAAAGAAAAAGAAACCAGCCAGCAAACTATACCATCCCGCATCTGTGTGTCTGTGGCAGGCACAATGTCCTCAGGGCGTCTTTGTCTCCATTGAGGCTGGTCAGCCCCCAAGCCACCACCACCCTCGGTAAAGTCAACTGCACCCTGTCCCTCTGTCTAACGCCCTGCCTCTCTCTCTACACCGTGCTTGTGTAGAAGAAGTGCCACAGAAGTGCCTATAGTTGTCTGCTAAGCGATTCCTAGGCCTCGCCTTACCCTGAATGGTGCTGGGAAGCCACGTCCCGTAGGAAACGCTGTGTTGAAAACTCTCTGTGCCCGACAGATGCGTCTTAAGCTGAAGGTCGTGACGAGACACAGCATGGATGCAGATCACGGCCTAAATGTTTGCCTTGGGCTCTGTCAGCTCCTGTGTCCATGAACCGAGCTCTTCCTGGGTGCTGTGGGGTCTGGGGACGTCAGCCACTTGCTGTGTAATCCCACCACCTTGGTGACCTGGTGAAACAAATGTAGGTTCTGTTAATCCAATCTTATGTAACTAACATTTGCAACACAAATCCTGGTTGATATTAATAATAAAAACCCAGAGACAGACATTGGGGTTAGAGCTGAAGATCAGAGAAGCAAAGCTGCCAACCTCTAGCTAGTTCTCACCCCTACCAATGCTCAGACCGAAAGGGCAACCCTGTCCTCAGACTGCATCTCCAGACTGCATCTGTCTCCACCAAACCTCAGACTGCACTGAGCTCCTGTCTCTTCCCGCCTTATATTCCTCTCTTGTGCTGGGAGTACAAACGTGTGATCCCGAGTGCTGAGATCACCTTTGTGTGAGCTCTGTTTCTCTTTTAGACCCGACCGATCTGGTGCAGCTCACGATGGCCTTGAACTCACAGAGATCCGTCTGTGTCTGTCTTCCGAGTGCTGGGATTAAAGGCGTGGCCATCACTTCCTGACTCTATGACTGTCTAGTGTGGCTGTTAGCTCTGCACTCCGATCTTCAGGCAAGCTTCATTTGTTAGATCACAAACAAAACATCACCACAAATGTTAATCTCACACCACGCACATCACACACTGCGTGCGCACACGATCTGTCTTCATTACTATAAATTCTGTGTACAGAAAGGGGCTCATTCACTTTAGTTTGTGGTCCTGGAGGTTTTTGGGAATGGGTTCTGCTCCTCTCTAAGCTACTCCATGCTGCATAAAGCAGGGATCTGGCTCTTGTTTTTCCGGGGTTGTCTTAAGAGATTACATTTTATGAGCATCTTTCTACTCCACGTTGAGGAAGAAGGGCAGCTGAATTCCCTGGGTGGACCACACAAACACCGCCATCCGTCAGGCCCCGCCCATCCGTTACACCGAGAGATGGCCTCCCTAATGTGTAGAAAGGAGGCTGCCCAATAAATTTATCCAGGTGAAGACACACGAGTGTATAAAAAAGAAAAATCACATCAGGGAAATCAGGCCCAAGAACTCATCAGAGTCACCAGTCTGAAGAATATGCTTGCCCGGATCCTGTCAGGTGACGGATAGCTCACACTGTGAAGGCTTGGCGCCACACCAACCTACATCTGATACCTGGTGGATGCATCGTAGACCAACGAGCAGAGGAGTCCCCAGCCGGCCCCGGGGCTTCTGCTTGGTTCACTCCCCCGCTGTTAAACAGCCCTTTCTATTCTGCTGCCTGCCCATCACCAGTCTTGACCTGAGCCTGCTGTTTAGCGCTTCAGACACCGCCCAGCTCCACACCGCAGCTTCGCTCTCAACCCTGACTCCAAATTATAGTCGTGTAGACATGTTTACCGGGTGCTGTGAGCTCTGCTGTATGAACAACGTTAATATCAGGAATTAAGGTTTCAGTGAAAGGACCTGCATTTACCTTGGACAGATGGCAACCGTAGGCAGGCTTGTTCGGCAAATGTCTTCTGTTGAAACCACTGAACCCTGTGAATGTATTGTTCTCCAACAAAGTCTGACATTGCGGACAGACACAAATCGAGTTCATCTGTGTTTCTGGTATGGTGTGCTCATGGCGGAGTATAAGGTTCAGGACTCCCATCCGATGGTGGCCTCTTGATAGAAGAACGCCTCCAACTCTGCTAGCATCGTGAGCACTCGATTTTCATTTACTTCTATTGGTTTGTGTGTTGTTATTTTTTTTTAGCGTGAAGATGTTTTGATTGCATGTATGTCTATGCATCATATGTCTAACTATTACGGGAGACTGTCACATCTTAGACAACCTGGAAACTATCACACCAGAGAAGTGTGTTAGATCCCCTGGAACCTGAGTTACAGATGATGGTAGCCACCGCGTGGGTGCCAAGAATCAAGCCTGGGTCCTCTGGAAGAGCAGCCAGTGCTCTTACCTGCTGAACTGCCTAGTCTCAAGAGTTTAAGTTTGCACATATTATTCAATATCTTTCTGCTAAAACCAGGAAAGCATTTTTTTTTTTAATCTTTCTCTGAAAGCGGATGAACTTGTAGTGCGGTGGGGAGTTGTCAGGTCACACTGGAGAAGGAGACGGAAGCGCAGAGGCTTCCTGCCAGGACAAGGCTTGTCTGGGCAAAGTTGCCCCCCCCAACCCCCCCAACCCCCCCACCCCCGCATGCCTCGGCAGTTCACAACCAATTGATACATTCCCGAAGAATGACCACAGGTGGCAGGGCCGTGACCTCATCGCCTCGATTGGAACAGTAAGCTTCCCTAGCCCCGCCCCTGAACACAAGCAAAGTGTGTTCTCACAGATGCCAATGGACAAGCTTGAAGGGCATGGTGACGGCTTTGTGTTCTCAGGAGCCTCCACCCAGTGCAAGCCATCTTACCTAGGAGAGTTACAAATGGGAGCTCAGCTACACACAGTGAAATCTCCTGAGCCCCATGAAGACACAGATCCCGGCATGCTAAGAAATTTAAACACAGCCCAGAAAACAGTGATCTGCCAGTTCTCTCTCACCACGGAGTCGGTTTCAAAGCCACCGCTTTTGAATTTTGATTTAAGACTAAAGAAACTCTTTCATCGTTAAGACAGAGCAGGAGAAGACAATCCCCACTGCAAGGTCACAGATTTGCAAAGGGAAGCACAGAAAGGAGGGAGGGGGAAATAAACCATTAGTCTTTTGAAATTGAATTCTGCACATGTAAGCAACCAGTGTTAGTCCCTCATCAAATTAGCTTGCCGTAGACCACTTACATCTCCTAATTCTTTAAGTGCCGTAAACCTGTGAAATTATTTGCTAATTAAAAACAAAATCATCATCAGTATTCTGTGCTGAGCTGTAATAATTGCAGCTGACCCTTGTATGTAAACTTAATAACTATGCTGTAAGGTTCCCAGTCTTGGGTCAGTCGGATGGCTCGGTGGGTGGGTTAAGGCACCCCCTGACAAGTCTGACGACCTGAGTTCAATCCCCAGAACCCACAAAGGAGAAAAAGAGAACCCCCTTCACCTTTTATAAGCTCGCCTCTGACTTTCCTGTGGGCACCGTGGTATATGCCATGTCCTGGGGCATGTGCCCCCTGCCAAACAGTCTTAGTCTTGTAAAACCAAGAAACCGCACAAGGCTTCTACATTCTTCTCAAAAACTGAGATCTTATCTGGGGAGAAACTTCTCAACCACGAGGCTATATACCAGGAATTAAAATGTTACACTTGGCAGTTTTCACATCTGATTTCCTCTGGCCATACTCACCATGTAAAAATACCATGTACTTACTGGAAGGCTTTTTATACACAAGCCCCCAAGTGTTGGGAATAAATAAGAAAAGGTGTGTTTGAGCATGGGATTACTTATCTCTACACTCCCGCCTGTTTCCAATCTTCCAACACAGTAGGGCCTTTTCTACATTCCTGCCTATCTCCAATCTCTCAACACAGTAGGGCCCTTTCAGCGTTTAAAGAAATGCGTGGAAGTGTGCTCACTGGTGCAATCCTGTTAAGAGAAAAAGTTCACACGAAGAAAAATTGAGAAGAGTATGTGGGTCTCTTTAGGATGAGAGGTTTTGGGGGGCATCCCCCGAAGACGCTGTCTGTAGCTGATGTGCTGTCTACACCTTAGTCTCCAACAGGACCCAAGGCTGCAGGCTTAAAGCTTTAACACAATGTGGGTATTAAGAAGAACTTGGCACAGTCCCTCCAATGAGGTCCAAGGCACTCTTTCTGAGCAGGCAGTATACCAACACTTACTTCCCCACACAAGCTGTCATTTGCCTACTCCGTGACGAGTTGTGGAATAGAGACCAGTGACTGAAGCTCAAATGACTCAGAAGGATCTTTCAAATAAAACAAAATGCAGGGTTTCACTAAATAGCACCCCCAAAGCATACTGCCCATTAGCTCCATAAACCCAAACTTATCCCTGAACTTACTTCCTTTCATGTGACTCTAACTCAGGTGTTTGGTGCTGTCCATCAGATTGTTCACCAAAGGGCATTCATTTGCTTGAATCAACCTGAAGGAGTTTCTGAAACTCCATGTCACAATAGGTCAATCTAGCATGAAATCATTTCTCCGGTAGTTAACCAATCCCTGCTTTGCTGATGTTGGGCTTAGACCATCTTACAAACAGACTAAGAGTTCTGTGAATGTTTATCAAGTCCAGTTCTTTTGTTTGTTTGGTTGGTTTTTTTTTTCTGAGACAGGGTTTCTCTGTATTGTTTTGGAGCCTATCCTGGAACTCACTATGTAGACCAGGCTGGCCTCGAACTCACAGAGATCCACCTGCCTCTGCCTCCCGAGTGCTGGGATTAAAAGTTTGCACCACCAACACCCGGCTTCAAGTCCAGTTCTTACTAAGTATTTTACCATCCAAGCTACAGTCTCAGGACACGACAACTTTAATATGTACATTTATTGACAGTGTCAAGTCACTTTTAAGTCTCTGCCGCCCCAACTAACATAATTTTAGAATCCCAAGTTACTAAAAGGGATACCCAAGACTATGACAAGCTCTACTAAGATTTCCATCACACTTACATTCAGTGTATTCATTTTAAATCATGATTGTGTTCACCAGACAGAATACAGGGTGTCAGGAGACACCAGTACAGAACATATCGCTTAAGGACAGGGGGCTTAGTGACAGAGTGTCTGTCTAGCACTCACAGGCTGTGGGCCGGACCTTAAACACAGCAAACACAATAAAACATCCAGCATATTGCTTCAGTACATTGATCAAGCCAAAGTCACTAAAACCCGCAAAATGCAAGGCTTTCTGGATGCCTCCATGAATTTACAGTGAGAGCCTCCAAGGGTTTCCATGGTTACCAATGTTTTGAAGACTAACTCATTCTCTGGAGGTTTCACCACACACAGACGTAAATGGTTTCCAACCACCCATCCTTTAAGGGCCGACTTATCTTCCTTGCAAACCATTTATTCTGAAGACACGTTCTTTTCATCCTGACCAGCGTAGCATGAATAGCAAAATCCCGGAGACAGATGTCGGGGTTCAAGCTGAAGATCAGAGAAGCAAAGTTGCCAGCCGCTAGAGAGTTCTCACCTCCATGGAATCTTCGGACTGAAAAGAGAGGGAGTGCATTCCTGTCTCATCCCGCCTCATAATCTTCTCTTCTGCCTACCTCTGTCTGGCCTCTGTGGCTGACACGTGTGGTTCACTATGCACTCTGACCCTCAGGCAGGCTTTATTTGTTAGACCATAAACAAAACATCAGCACAGTTCTAAACAAGTGGGCACCACAACTCCCCAAAGGTCATATGTACTCTCCCGCCACACACTGATCCTCCGCACCTCCCGTGGTTACGCCCTCCTTCACAGCCTAACCTCAATGTAGATCTGATGAACCCTTGAATCCTTGTCCTTTGGCAACCTGACCCACCCATTGAGCCCAGATCAGTTTTTGTTTATTGTCTAACCCAATGAGACACCTGAGGTCTCCCCACAAACCCCAGTTCTAGCCCTAAAACCCGACCGGTTTCTGTTGAACCCAGCTTCAGGCACTCCAGGCTTTCCAACACGAACCAGACCTATCTGTCCAGGTTTCCAAATTCAGTCCAGACCAAGAAATTTGTCTGGGAGTGTTGTTAAAGAGCCAGTCCTTGAGGAATGGAGAGACGATTTCGTGGTTAAGAACACTGGCTGCTCTTCCAGAGGTCCCAGGTTCAATTCCCAGCACCCACGTGGTGGCTCACCAACATCTATAATTACGGTTGTGTGGGATCCGATGCCATCTCCTGGTGTCTGCAGGCACCAGCTCACATGTGGTGCACATACATGCATACATGCAGGTGAAACACCTATACACATACCGTTAAAAGAAAAAGAGCACACCTTGAGCCAGTTACCCCAAGGAGGAAATGATAAGATCAAGGAGCAGGCATGAGGAGTGGAGTGGGAGAGAGGGAAAACACTTTTTCTTTGTCAATATCATAATACTTGTTTGGCCCACATCTATTTTGTTTGTTTGTTGTTTTTTTCCAAGACAGGGTTTCTCTGTAGATGTGGAGCCTGTCCTGGAACTCACTCTGTAGACCAGGCTGGCCTCGAACTCACAGAGATCCCCCTGGCTCTGCCTTCCAAGTTCCGGGACTAAAGGCATGTGCCACCACGGCCCGGCTGGCCCACGTCTTAAGATTATTCTAAGACCAGAGGACGCTGTGCCTGTGCAAGGGCCCTGTATCTACAGAGCAACATGCAAACAGAAGGAATCAGGACTGTTTAATAAGAGCACGAGTTACTGAGATCACCAGTGCTCTGCTGTTTTTACAGAAAGGGTCACGCCTAAATTATCCATAGAGCAGTTGGTCTTTGAAAGACCGGTGTTATTACTAAATAAAATATGGCGTTGCGATTAACATAAATTATACTGCTATTGCGACCATGTGATGCGTCAACAGAGGTCCAAGGTGCGCAAAAGCTTTTTAAAGCTGGTAGAATCTGAGGCAAAACCAAGGCGGGGATTTAAAAGCATTTGTAGGTGGGAGAGTGCCAAATAAATGCCAGTCGTTGTTATTATTATTATTAGCCGAACTAAGGAAGGTTTATCCAGTTTGACATTTAAGTTCACGTTGAACGAAAATACCAACCAGTTTCCAGTTCAGTCCCAAGGCAGTATTTATTGGTGCCATCTGCTGGAAGCTGCTGAAAAATTGATGAAATTAGGACGAGCTTCGTGAGAGGCAGAACAACACACTGTACTATTTATTCTCTGCACATTCAGCTAAGGCAGGCAATGCTCCTGGGGTGCATTTCTTATATTAGGTTTTGCTGTGTAAAACATTTGGTGCTAAGCGAACATGATTCATGAACTATAGAGTTTGCTCATCCATTCATTCATTCAAAGAGAATTCTGAGCTGTCTGTCAGCCCTGTGCCATGAAGCAGGTGTGACCAGGTAGTCAGCCTGTAAGAGCTTGTGGATCAGCAGATCTACCTAAGTATAATGCATTGTGATAAACAAAAACTCCATGGGGGGACTAAGGAAGGGGCTTCTTAAACTCAATGGGTGGTGATCTTCTCCAAAGAGCGCTGACATGTACCATTTTTGTAGACAGGGAAAGAGAGATCTACCGCGGAAGGATACGTTTGCGGGAATGCAGCCGCCAGCAAGTAGAGGCGGGACCAAAGAAACCCAAGCTCGCACTCTTCAGTCCTGTGAAATGTCACTGTGTCACATGGTCCTGATGAAGTGCTGGGCTTGACTCAGATCAAGGCAGTTGTCTGTCTCTTAAATGGACCATAGGTTTCAACATAAAGTGTCAATCCCCTGAAAACAAACACGACAGTCACAAAACCTAGACCCAATGCCCCCGCTAATGAATTCAGACCAGGACAAGTGCGGCCAGCTGTCTCTCGACGCAGGAGATCCGTCCAGTCACTCCGCTAACCCTGCAACAGTGCAATCTTGTGGGTCCGATCTATGGAATGTTGCTGTGGCTTTCCAGGTGTGTGAACGTTATCAGTGGGTGTGCTTCCCAAGTTGCCTGAGGGGGCTTCTTAAAACACGGGTTGCTGGGTTCCAGCCCTGCTTTCTCATTCACAAGGTGCAGGGAGAGGCTGAGAACTTGGAGTAGCTTCTGCTGAGGACAGTGTCCCAGGGCTTCTGATTCCGAGTGACGGAAGAAAGGTAAAGGCAAGATCATCATCAGACTTAGGAGCAACTCAAAATGTTTTATTCTGATTTTAGAAACACGGGGCTATCATGTTTCTAAAGGCATTTGCCGATAAGTCTGACATCTTGGGGTCAATCCTGGTACCTGTGTGGTTGAAGAACTGACTCCCTAATCTGCCCTCTGACCCCCGTGTGTGTTCCATAACACACACACACACAATAAACAAATGAATAAAAAAGTAACAGCTTTATATTGAAAAATAAGGCCAATTGTCAGGAATAATATTTCCCTTTAAATCTCAACACCGAGAAGTAACTGCTATTAAAGTTTGGGTTTTTTTGGTGTATTTCTTCCCATATTTCTCTTGCTGGGTATGTATAAATGTGTATATAAGCACGCCACATATATTCAATTTTTCATTTTCCCCTTTTGGGTATTATATCATGAATGTTACTTATAAATTAGCCAGCACAGAGTACAACGATCAGGCAACTAAGGGCTTAGATCACGGGGAGTTCTGCTTTGTTTCGTTTTTCTGATCTTTTGAGACAGGGTTTCTCCGTGTAACAGCTCTGGGTGTCCTGATACTAGCTCTTGAACCCAGAGATCCGCCTGCCTCTGCGTCCCGAGTGCTGGGATTAAAGGCGTGCACCACCACCGCCGGGCTTTGGGGATTTCTTGAAGCTGGGTAGAACCTGCCAGAGCAGATGCTAGAGGAACAAGGAAGCTGGGGGTCTTGACTCTACATTTCCCGTTTGTCGTTAGTAGAGCTGTTCCCAGGACAGGAGTTTTCCTGCTTTGCTAGCCGTCTGGAACCAGCCACCCATACTGCAATAAGGATGGAAAAACAAAGCTATATAGACAGATGGAAAGGCTTAGGGAAAGGGTTAAATAGAGAAGCAATAATCCGTGAGACTGGATCCACAAATCAATGGGGGGATGGGTAAGGATGGAAGGTTTATATTTCTGTGATGAAAACACCACGACCTGTAATAGGAAGCCTTTTCCTTGAGTGAAGCCCCTCCGCCAGCCTGGTTCCAGATCGGCATCAGTCCCAAATAAACACACAGGAGGCTGTATTAATTATGAAGCTGTTGGCCTTGCTTGTTTCTTACTGGCTAGCTCGGACTTAAGTAATTACCCCATAATTGTTAATCTAAGTATGTTTCTTACCAGAGAATAGTTCCAGGCTTCCTACCCCCATGGCGTTACATGTTGACTCTCTTGTGTTTCTCCTTCCCAGAATCCTCCTCGACTCCTAGTCCCTCCTATCTAGGTTTTCTATTGGCTCAACAGTACTTTATTGACAAATGCACAGGACTTCCCCCAACAACGACCAAAGACATCTGTGAAGGGAACAGCTCGTTTGGTTCACGCTTCCACATCTGTGTTCATCACTGGAGGAAGTCAGGACAGGAGCTCACACAGGGCGGGAGCCTGGAGCGGGAGCTGACACAGAGGCCGTGGAGGGGAGCTGCTGACTGGCTCGCTCCCAGGGCTTGCTCAGCCTGCTTCCCCATAGAACCCAGGACCACCAGCCCAGGGATGGCCCCACCCACCAGGAACCGGTCCTCTGCCATCAATCACTAATTAAGAAATTGCCCTACAGACTTGCCTACGGCTCAATCTCGTGGAGGCATTTTCTCAGCAGACATCCCTCCTCTCTGATGACTGTAGTTTGTGTCAAGTTGACATAGCCAGTCCCCTCACAGCCACCCGGGACTGGCAACCAAACTTGGGGCCTCTCTGCAAGAGCAGGAAGTTCTCTTAGCAGGAAGTTCTCTTAGCAGGAAGTTCTCTGCAGGAAGTTCTCTTAGCAGGAAGTTCTCTTAGCAGGAAGTTCTCTTAGCAGGAAGTTCTCTTAGCAGGAAGTTCTCTTAGCAGGAAGTTCTCTTAGCAGGAAGTTCTCTTAGCAGGAAGTTCTCTTAGCAGGAAGTTCTCTGCAGGAAGTTCTCTTAGCAGGAAGTTCTCTTAGCTGCTGAGCCATCAGCCTTCACAATCTCAGTGTCACAGCCGTAACGTTGAAGGTTTACTCAGTTATCATAAGCCATGGGAGTTCATGGCGGTGTCAAGTGTTTGTAGGACCTGGCAGGGTAACAGGAGCTTTGCTTACTGTTTGCCGCCTGGCTCGCGTTTTTGATGACACCGTGATGACATGCTAAGAGACTTCAGTCATAACACATTGCGTTGTGTGTTTATGCTTAACTTTCCCTCATCAAGCTGGGACATAAGAGATGTGGAAATGTTTGCAGATGTGTTTGCAGTGTGGTTCTAATATGTTATAGAGACCTAACGCATTATGAAACATAACGTTTCGTGCAAAACCTAGCCATCTCTCCCAGTCTGTTCTGAGCCCGGAGAGCCATGCTCCGGACACTTATCTCTTCCACAGACAATGTCGATGACAACTGCATGTTGGCAGCTGCTTAGAGGAAATCTTAGAAATCTCACAGGACAGATCCACCCTTGGAACTGTGTTGAGGGTGCGCTGATCATGGTTGACGCTGTTAATGATGCGGCACGCCTCCGAATGAAGTAGGTCTCTCACCAGGGGAAGGAAACTGTGTTTCCATTGCTCAACTATGTTATTAAATGTGCAGCATTTCAGTAGATAACGTGTCAGGGTAAGCATAAAAGGAATGTCGGATTCTAAATGTCATCCAACAATAGCAATTCTCCAGCATTCAGCTCCACACGGTCAGAGGTTTGTCAGGCCCTTCACCAAAGCCAGGCAAGGCCATGGGTTTTTCCCAGGATACTTAGTTAGCACTGATAGGTGCTCTTTATAGTCAGCTAAAACAAATAAACAAACAAACAAAAAACCCAGGACCAACAGCATTATTCATCATGTTTGGGGAGTTATCTTTAGTGCAATCATTTGCCAAGACTTTTTGTTTTGTTCTGTTTTTCCAGACAGGGTTTCTCTGTATGGTTTTGGAGGCTGTCCTGGAACTAGCTCTGTAGACCAGACTGGCCTCGAACTCACAGAGATCCGCCTGCCTCTGCCTCCCGAGGGCTGGGATTAAAGGCGCCCCCCCCCCACATGTTAGAAGTGAATAACTTTTTCTGATCTTTTTTCTTTTGGAAAAACATTTAATTTTTTAATATTTTAATTTACATTATTTTATGTGTGTGGGTGTTTGGTCCACCTGTTTATCTATGCACCATGGGCTTTCTTGCTGTTTGTGGGTGTCAGAGGAGGGCATCAGGCAGCCTAGAACCAGAGTTGCAGATGGGCGCTGGGAACTGAACCCGGGTCCTCTGGGAGGGGCCAGTGCTCGCAACTGCTGAGCCCTCCTCCCTGCAGCCCAGCTTTCTCCGATCTTCTTTCCCACCTCTGAACAGCAAAGTGAGAAGGGAACTGGCTTCCGGCGGTTGGTGCTTTGCCCGAATCTTGGTACCTCTGCGTCTTTCCAGTCACTGCTCCTGGGGAATTCTGTGCTCTGCTCAGGACCACGTGAGAGTCCGGCGTAATGTCCAGACAGAGGACCGCAGCCCCCCCGCCCCCAAATAGTCATACTTGATTGCCAAAGTCAGAGGGGCTTGGCACACGCTTGGAGAGCTTACATTGAGGGCCAACACATAAGCTTTGCGCCTGCGTCTCAATGGACTTTCTGTTAGGAGTACGGCGAGAGGAGGGAGAGCTGGGGACCCCACGACGGGGGGGGGGGGCAAACACGCCAGCAGGCAGAACTTATATGGGACAGAAGATTTATTGGGGGAAAGTGAATGGAGAAAGGAAAGGAAGCGGGGGGAGAGAGAGAAAGGGGAGGGGAGGGGAGGGAAGGGAAGGGGAGAGAAGAGACAGGAAAAGACTTGCCCGCCCCTCCAGAAAGACAGTGGGAAAGAGCTGAAGGGGACACGTAGCCTCTTAAAGACTACACAGTCACGTCGCAGCCATAGGACCCTGGGCTGACCAGGGCACTGCCCGAGTGCACTCTGCCAGGTGACAGGGGCGGGCCGGCATGACGCCTGAGTCCTAACGTTATCCACAGGACACCCGTAGCTCTAATTCTGATAGAGGATTGCTGGAGCACCGAGGGGAAAGAGAACCAGGACCTGCCGTAGCCGGGAGGTGACTTGAGGACACTGCCGCAGCAGACGGGCCCACGTTGTCTTTTGATTCTTTTCACGCATGCTCTACATAATGAAAGAGCAGAGCGTAAAGTTCCATCTCCAAACTGATGGAAACTTCAGGAACGCTCTAAGCGTCAGGCCTTGTGAAAAGGGCTGACGCAGGCCCTCTCCCGCACAATCGCCACATCAAAGCTAAGCACGATTCTATCCTTTATTTGTATGTTTACAAACGGAAGCTCAAATCAGAATCAGCAAATGGCTGAGCCAAGATTCAATCCCAGATGTGCTAAACCACAACAAAGACCATGTATGCAAATTGTGACGCTAAGCAGGATGGAACACCGAGACCAAGCAGGGCGTTGGTGGCGCACACCTTTAATCCCAGCACTCGGGAGGCAGAGGCAGGAGGATCTCTGTGAGTTCGAGGTCAGCCCGGTCTACAGAGCGAGTTCCAGGATTGTCAGGGCTAAACAGAGAAACCCTGTCTCAAAACACCAGACCAAACAAAACCCCACCATGTCCAAAACAACTTGTAAAAGGAAATGATTAATTGGGCTTATATTTTCAGAGGCTTAGAGCCCATGATGGTGGATCAAAGGTGTGGCAGCAGGAACAGCTGGGAGCTCACATCTTGTTCCTATATTTGGAGGCAGAGAGGTAGTAGGAACCGGATGAACCTTTTCAAACCTCAAAGCCCCCCCCCCGTGACACATCTCCGACAACAAGGCCACAGCTCCGACAACAAGGCCACACCTCCTAATCCTTCCCAAACAGTTCTGCCACTGGGCACCAAGCATCCAGACACATGAGCCTGTGGGAGCTGTTCTTACTCAAATCACCACACACTTAGCACCAAAAGCATGGGAACGAGCAGAAGGGAGGAGTCAGCTCCCCAACACGAGAGTTTCCATCCTCCCCGGAGACGGCGTGTCTGCAAACCAACTTTAGGAAAACAAAGAGACAGGCTTTTTTGCAAAATGCTTTTGCAGGGAATCAGATGCTGGGCAAATTGATGAAGGCAGTCCTCCTAGTCATGACTAAGATCCAAGATAACTTGGGTTTCCTCCCTAAATACAGCTTCCCCAGGCTCATGGTAGTTAGCAAAGGTCTCAAATTGCTATTTTTCCTGCTGAATATAGCTGCCAACACTTCAGCTATAGTCAAACCAGTTTGACCGGGAGAGAAGCCAAGGAATGTGTCCTTCAATGTTTGCTGCCCGGCACAACAGCGTATAGCTGTGTGCTGTGAGGTTTCATCTGACAAACCTGGTGAAATGTGATCAAGACATATGCTTCTCCAGAGATGTCTAATAGGAAATACCGCTCATTTTTTCCTGCCTACTGGGTTTATTTAGGACCCAGACACAGACACAGTGCCTTTCCACATACAACACGTTAGGACTCCATAATTATTGACTGAACTCAGAACGGTGGGAACCCTCCGCCACTCACCCCAACCGCAATGCGAGGGACCCAACCCTAGTCCTTCAGACAGCACAGTGTGACTGTACACAGACCTGTTTTGCTTTCACGCACTATCTGATGTTTTAGGGCACTCCTATAATGTCACTTTGTTTTGTTTTTCAAGACAGGGTTTCTCTGTGTTGTTTTGGAGCCTGTCCTGGAACCCGCTCTGTAGACCAGGCTGGCCTCGAACTCACAGAGATCTGCCTGCCTCTGCCTCCGGAGCGCTGGGATTAAAGGCGTGCGCCACCAGTGCCCGGCATAATGTCACTTTCTTCTTCCTTCTTTTAAAAGGCCCTAATAGGGACCTCCCAACTCTCCTGTCCCTTCCAACTAGCCACGGGGACATCCCAAAAGCAAGATACTAGCTTTGTTCTGGGAAGTTTTTGGAATTATTTTCCTTCTTAAGGTTCATTTATTTTTCATGTGCATGAGCATTTTTTTTAATTTTTGCCTGCCTGCCTGTACGCATGTGCACCACCAACAGGAAAATAAACTAAAATATTAACATTGATCAGATATAACTTTGAAATAAAATTTCTCCCATTTCTTTGCATGTATTCTCTGTATTTAAAACTCATTGTTAAGACTAATATCAAGGGTTTTTCTGGAAGTTTTACTGTCTAATTCATTTCAAGTTCTTTTCTCCATCTGGTTAAGATAAAGGTTCCAAT